TTGGGTGAGCAGCCCAATGCCTTACCCACAGCACTACCAGAGCTGCTTTCTGTAAAGATTGCAGCCTTGGAAACCCTATGGGGCAGTTCCACTCTGTCCTATAGGGTCAGTATGTTGGAATCAACTCAATAGCACAATGAGTTTGGTTTGCTTTGCTTTGGTTTGGTTAGGCTGAGTGAAAGGAGCCCTGGTGGCACTGTGGTTAAGCACTCGGCTGCTAACTGAAAGGTCAGCGGTTTGGAGTGGATGATTAAGGTAGGATCAAGAGCTCTATTAAATCAGAGACGTCTTCTATAAATGGCAGGTTCTGCTGGCCACCTTGTTACTTGAGGAAACGGGCCAGAGAAGCTGCTCCAGAGGGTTGTGGGCCAGAGAGAATCCAGTCCTCAGGGGCTGGGGGATCAAGGCCACCTTTGCAGTTAAATCCATACACCCAGCTCTAGCCTCTTTTGCACCCAGGTTCCTGGGGGACCCTGTACTCATCCTCTCAACACCTTCTTTGCTCTGCTGTCTGTTTAAAACCATAAGAAAAACCAAACCCACTGTTGTCGATGGCTCACATTCACAGCGAACTATAGGACAGAGTAGAACTGCCCCATAAGGTTTCCAAGGCTGTAAATCTTTACGGAAGTGGACTGTCTCATCTTCCTCCTGCTGAGCTGCTGGTGAATTGAACTGTGCCAGCCTTTTGGTTAGCAGCTGAGTGCCTTAACCACTGCACCACCAGAGCCCCTTGCTGTCTATTTGTTGTTGTGTGCTGTCAAGTCGGCTCTGACTCATAGCGACCCCTCCTTGGGTTTCCGAGGTGGTATCTCTACGGAAGTAGATTGCCCAACCTTCCTTCCGAGGAGTGGCTGGTGGGTTTGAACCGCCAGCCTTCTGGTTAGCGGTCAAATGCCTTAGGCACTATGCTACCAGAGCTCCCTGCTATCTATTTGGGAAGGTGAAATTAAGAGATTTACCATACATATGGAGTCCCTGGGTGGTGCAAAAGCTTAATGCACTCAGCTGCTAGCCAAAAGGTCAGTGTTTCAAGTACCCAGGGGTGCCTTGGAAGAAAGCCCTAGTGACCTACTTCTGAAAAATCTATTTCCGTACGGAAATACTACTATTTCCGTAGTGATACTGCCTTGGAAACCCAAGGAGGGGTTGCTATGAGTCAGATCTGACTCGATGGCAGTGAGTTTGGTTTTTGGTTTTGGAACACAGTTGAATTCTGACATACGCAGGGTCACCATGAGTTGGAATCGGCAACTGGTTTTCCATGCACATATGGTGCCCCAGGAAGTAGAAGGTGAAATGGAGCAAGGAGGGGCTGAAAGACACCAGGCTCTGCCCCTGTCTGGGTGTGGGTCTCCAGTGCTGCCCACTGGGGCATGGAGGTTGACACCAGCTGCCTCAAAAACTCATGAGAAATTAACCAAGAGCCAGGAAGAGACTTGAACTTTGTATCCTGCTCGGCTGTGGAAGGCCAGCAGGGAGTAACCTAAGAGTCTAGGAGAGAGCCCCATGGAAACCGTGGCAGAGTGGGCTGAGTCCTAAGGGGAGAACAGAGATCCAGCAGCACTCCGGGATACCAGATGGGGCCTACTGCCTGGCAAGACCTTGGCACTCTCCCACCAGTTCTTCTCAGGACAGAGTCCAAACTCAGGGCTGGCCCCAGGCTGAGTTGCTCTCTCCTTATTAACCTCAGGTTCCTTAGCTGAAAGGGAGCCAGAAAGGCCATCCAGCAGGGATGCTTTAAAGATTGACTGAGGTAGCCCTGAATGCCCAGAACTTGAGTCCAGGTAACTAACAGGTCAGAGTCTGGGGACCTGAACCAGCAGTGAGCATGAGCATGGACTAGGTGCTAGATGTGCACTCTCTATGCACTCCTGACCCCACCCCAGGTTCAAGACAGCTCCGCTCCTGCCAGACCCTCCCTGGTCCTGCCAGACCCTCCCTGGTTAGAAGCCTTGGAAGGGGCAGCAGCCGTGGGGGACACTGGAGACGTGGGCATGCTCTGCATAGGCTGTCACCTGGAGCAGGGTCTCCTGAACACAAGTGCTGGGGCTCTCTGTTGGTCCTTTCTGATGCTGGGGTTGGTGGTGGGACTGAGTCTGGGGTGCTGCCAGGTGTCTGAGCAGGGCGCTAGTCATGGCTCTGGTTATCATAGGCGCCCCTGAAGCTACCAGCCCCAACACGTTGGCCTCGGTGTCTTCCAGGCTGCTGCGAAGGATGAGGGGGCAAGCCCAGGCACTTGTTGCAGACCTGGTCACCAGGTTACTGAACAGAACCCCAGTGCTGGGGGACAGGCGTCCAGAGCCGAAGGAGCTGTTGAGTGAGGAGGTAAGAAGGAGCACAGAGCCGCTGCTGTCGATGGCAGCCAGGACACTGCTCACAGGCGTCCCTGTAGCTTGCATAAGCGGCGGTGGGCAGAGGTCAGAGCTGGCCTCCCCGGAGTGTAGGGCTGCCTCCAGCAGGGCTAGCAGTTCTGGGCCAGCTGATGGGCTGGGGGTGGTGAACAGGATGCCCTGGGGCACAGAGAGCTGCAGTGCTGGCTCCAAGGTAGGCATGGGCTCAGCTGAGGGGGCTTCCAGCCCCAAGTCGTTGGCCATCAGACTGAGGAGGGCATCCCCAGCAAGGTGTGGGGTGGGGACAAGTGCTGCCCTGCGTAGCACATCTGCCAGTCTTGGGTTGGCAGCTCGGGTCCCAGGACCTAGGGGGGTCCCATCAGCATGGCAAAGCAGTGGACAGAGGCCCTTTGTGCCCTGGGCTGCCAGCGCCCTTGCCAGGGGTGTATCCACCTGGAAGCCCTCCTGAGCCAGCGTGGTGGGGCCTCCCAACAGGTGTGGCCAGGGCAAGCGGCCAAAGCGTGTGTGCAGCAATCGCAGGGCAGGCAGAGCCGTGGGCAGCCCTAGCCCGGGTGCCAGGATCTGGGCTGGGCCTGAGGTCAGGGCGGTTGAATTGCCTGAGGAACTATTGTGGAAGAGGCCCCAGAATATAGCACCTGGGAGGAGACAAAGGGTCACACTGAGGTCAAGGTCACTGGCCAGGACAGGGGTCAGGGTCACTGCCTGGGGGCAGGGTCACTCAGCAGGTCCAGGTGAAGGGTTACTAACTTGTTTGAGGTTGAGCTTACTGACTGAGCATGGGATCTGGAGTAACTGACCAGCCTTGAAGTCAAAGGTTGCAGCCTAGGGATCAGAATCATTGCCTGAATCATAGGTCCTACTCACAAACCAGGCTGAGGTCAGAGTCATTGACTTTTCCATGTCATTAGCTAGGTCTGGGGTTGGGGTTGCTGTCTGGGTTCACAGGTCACTGACCTAGGCCTGTGGCATGAGGGTGCACCACTGACAGGCACAGAGCTGCTCCGATTCCAGCGTCCACGACATTGCCTCCAGCCACAAGGAGCTCTCGGCCCAGGCTGGAACATGCAGCTGCAGCAAAGAAGGGACCATTATGGGGAGGGGCCGGGAACAGTAACCGTCAGCACCTCCCTGCCCCTGAGCCAACCCCAGCACTGACCAGCAGGGCTGATGATGGCACCGTGGTGGTATACGCCTGGGTGATGAGAGTGCCCGGTGGGTGGAGGGAGGACAGAGCCCACACTTCTGGTATAGCCACGGCTAATCTGGAGCTGCCTCACAGCCAGGGAGAGGCCAACAGCCAGCAGTAGCAGGGCTGCAGCTGGTCGGGCCCAGGCTCCTGCGAGGCCACCAATCTTGTTCCTGCAGAGAGGGGTGTCCTAAGCCAGGGCTGAGGGGACACCTAAGAGCCCCAAGAGAAGCCAAGAAAGGTTTTCCAATGGAGTTTGTTGGTCTTGCCAGAGGAGAACATGTTTGCCAGGGAGAAAAGGGTTCCCCAAAAGAGGTCACAGTCTGGACAAAGACATAGAGACGGGAAAGTGCTTGGGGAAGCTGAAGACAGCTAGGGAGGGAGGGAGTAACTGGAGAGGGGGGTGGAGAGGCAGGAGGGAGCCAGTTGGGTAGAGGCCCCAGGAGGGCTTGGGAGGTCGGGAGACTAGGCTGAGGAGTTCCCACAGTAGAGCAGGGCCCAGGCAGGTGGAGCCAGGCTCCAACTGGTTTAGCAGGTGCCTCCTGCCCCAGGGTGTGGGGGCTGGGACCCTGTGACAGGGTAGCAGGCAGGGGCCAGCATGTGGTACAAATGTCCCTTCAGTCTTACACACCTTCATGAGTCTGTAGCCCAGATGTCTCCTGTTCAACCAGAAAGTTCCTGGAGCTGAGCTAAGCTAAGCACAGGGTTGTGAGCCCCCCGTCCCACATAACACCCAAGGGCTCCCTCCAGAGAGAGGGACTTACCAGCCTCAGCTCTGAGGAGCAGGTGCCCAGACCTCACCCCAACTCACCCAGAGGAGTCATGGGGCCTCCAGGGGTAGAGAACCAGTGGCTCTGAGATCTCCCCCTCTTCCTCCTCAGACTCCAAGCCCGGCTCCCAGAGTTGCAGCTTTTGGTAGGACACAGGTCCTGCTTCAGGGTCCATGGCCACCCAACCTCCTGCCTGCCAGCCTTCCCAGCTGTCTCAGGAGGCCTTCCGAAGACAATGGGTGTGGGGTGGAGGCAGCCTTGGGGAAGGGTGGTGGCAGAATCTAGAACAGGTCTGGGCAGGGCATGGGGCCAGCGAGACTGAGCATAAGCCTGCCTCATTAGGGTACAGGACTAAAGGGGCTGTCACGAAGAGCCACAACCCAGTAAGGTTGGCAGCATAGCCAGGAGGAGCCTAGCCCTACAGGCACCGGCCCTGAGACCCGGGATGCCTGCTGGCTCCCTCTGAGGATGCAGGTTCTCTATGTCCCACACCTTGGCCAGGACTCTAGTCTAGGGATAATTTGCGCTTGAGTTAGGGTTACAATTACTTTGTGGCCTGAGTCAGGCCTCTGCACATGATTAGGTTCCAGTGTAGGGGTGTCTGGGCTTGGGATGGGGTCAGACTCAGCCTGAGACCACTCGAGTTCTGGGTTTCTTTGTCTGGGGAACAACTTTTTTCTTGGGTGGTAAAAGTAGCAAACTCCTAGAGAGAGTCTGGATGGACCTATCATGTCATATGGCTCTTGTCCAGCAGATGGTGCTACAGACCTCTGGGGAGAGCCTGTGGCCTGGAAACCATGAACAACGGAAAAACCAAACCCACTGCCCTTGAGTGATTCCGACTCATGGCGACCCCCATTGGGTTTCCAAGGCTGTAAAATTATTATGGAAGTAGATTGCCTCATCTTCCTCCCATGGAGCAGCTGGTGGGTTTGAACTACCGACTTTCTGCTTAGCCTCCAAATGCCTTACCCACTATGCCACAGGAGCTCCTTGGAAACCATGACAGAGTTCCCCCAAATTTCTTCAATCTGGGATTCACATCAAGGATCTGTTCTGCAGTACCAAAAAAAAAAAAAAAAAAA